GCTGAGTCTGCCTCACATCCCTGTTGTTCTCTGACTTTGGCTCCCTCCAGGACCAGAAGCTGTTCAGGGAGGATGGAGGCTGGGAGCTGGTGGGTGCCGTGGCTCAGTACTGGTGCAGCAGGATGGTGTGGAGTGAGGAGGAGCAGTGCTACCACATCAGAGGTACAAAAAAAGGGAAAGGGTTGATAAGCAGAGACCTGGAGCCCCTCCAGCCAGACCTGGATGGGAGTGCATGAGCTCTTCAGACGCGTGTCCTCTGGAATGTATCACAGATCACGTTTGTGTCCGTGCAAACACAGGACAAGCTGCTCAGCTCTCCTCCAGCGCCACAGTATCGTTTGCTTTTTCTCTCAGCCCCTTCCCCCTCACAGGACACCTCTAAACGTCTCCTTCCGTGGTGGTCCCAGTTGGTGCCACAAGCGTGGGCGCCTTCAGCTCTGCCGTGGTGACCGGTGGCATTTGGAGAAAATAGAGTGCAAGGGCTTTGAGGGGGAAGGACTCCTCTAAGTCTTTTCTAAGAGACTTGAGTTTAAATCCCCCAGGAGCTACAGAAGTTTAGTCCCTCGAAGGACACCTGGTGCTGTTGGTGCTGGACAAGCACAACCACAGGGCACAGGGTCTCTCTGTGGGCAGCGATCCCGCTAAAGCGCATTGCGTTGAGGAGAGCAAGCTCGCGCTGGTGGGCTGCTTCTGACAAGGGACACTGGGGAAGAAAATGAGAAGTGAAGGAGAGGTGTTTGGGAGAGAAGAGTCTCAGGGAGAAGCTGTGAGCCAGGTTGTTTCTTCTACTCAACCAGCACCTCTAATGATCTCCCCTGCTCCGTGCTGGGCAGTGGGACCCTGCCAGGAGCGGGGAGCAGCACCTTGCGCAGCGCGAGGGTTCCCTTCCTCCCCGAGGAGGGGTATGCCAGACATTGGGTGTGCTGTGGGTGAAGTGTCCCCCTCCTCTTCCTCCAGGTGTCATGCCCCCCGATGAGTACCACCACCACGTTGATAACTCCGCGTACACCAACGCCGTGGCCCAGCAGAGGTAACGCCCGTGGCCTGTCGCCCTCCTTATCCCTCTGGCCAGGGTGAGAAGTGGCTGGACCCCTGCGTGGGATGGACCCTCCCTCCCGTCACAGACCTTGTCCGGGTGGCGGGTGGTCCCACAGCGGTTCTTCTGGCCTCATTCAGGAACTCCACGTGGGGCTCAGAGGGGTTTGGCTTCGTGGGAGGGTTTCTCTCCCTCTCCTTTAGGAGATGTCTGTAGGCTCAGCCAGCTGGAGACATATAAATCCATAGGAACCGAATCCCAGCCCAGGGCTGACAGCCGTTACCCCAAGCTCACACTTTGACTCATGTTCTGTCAGAGTAGCTGCTGCTTTGCAGCTACAGCTCAGTTAGTTCTTTCTATTCCCTTTCTTCTCTTCCACTTTCCAAGGGGTCACAGGCACCTGTGCCTGGCATAAAGCGCTGCTCCTTGTCTCTTCTCAGCCTAAATTTTGCGGCGGGTGTTGCTCGGGACCTCTCAATCCCCGTGCCAGAGGAGTGGGTGGACTGTGCCCAGAAAGTCAAAGTGCCCTTTGATGCGGAGAAGAAATATCATCCCGAGTACGACGGGTACAGCCCAGGTGAGCGAGGAGGCAGCAGCAGACCTTTGAGACAGGGGCGCCCCTCTTCCTTCGTGAGCCCGCAAGGCCCGGGGGCTCTGACTGCTTCAAACAGCAGCTGAGTGGTTGGCTGAAGGAAAAATGGAAAAAGGGCTAGTGCTGCTCTCCGAGCGTGGGGAGCTGGGCTTGCAGACACGTCCAGCAGCAGCAGGGACAAGCCGTGAGCTGCGGGTCTGGTCTGCCTTCGGCATGGTGGCAGGGAGATGTCCTCCCTGCAGTTCCAGGGGAGGATCCACCACATCCACCTTCCCCCCGATCATGTGGTGTTTGTTGTTCCAAGTTGATAGGACAAGAGAAAAGGGGCTCAACCTGCACCAGGGGAGGTTTAGATTAGATATTAGTAAGAATTTCTTCCCTGAAAGAGTGGTGAGGCACTGGCACGAGCTGCCCAGGGCAGCGGTGGAGTCGCCATCCCTGGAGGTGTGCAAAAAACGTGTAGGAGTAGCTCTTTAGGACATGGTTTAGTGGTCACAGTGGTGTTGGGTTGACGGTTGGACTTGATCTTAGAGGTCTTTTCCAACCTTAATGATTCTATGATTCTGCATGAGGTGACTTTGTTCCTCATACGAGTACGTGGGCAAGTGCTCTGCTGGTTGTTCCCAGCCGGCAAATGTGGTGGGACCGGCTCCTTTCCCCAGGGGAGCCTGTGAAACAAGCTGACGTTGTCTTGCTCGGATTCCCTCTGATGTACCCCATGAGCCCGGAGGTCCGGAGAAATGACCTGGAGATGTACGAGCCCGTCACTGAGCTGGATGGGCCGGCCATGAGCTGGGTAAGAACCGTGGTCAACCCCAGGTGGGACTGAGGCACGAGGTGGTGGTTTCCATCCGAGCCAGCGACTGTCAGCCCCAACCGCGAGTGTGACGTGTCAGACCTGCAATGCAGAGCTCAGGATGTCGCTGACGGTGTTCGCTCTGGGTCAGAAGGATGCTGGTTGCAGTGTCGCTGAAGGGCCTGCTGTATTGTCACCCCCGGGGGGAGAGCAGCTGGAAAAAGGCCGTTGTTCTCCCCCGCAGAGCATGTTTGCGGTGGGCTGGCTGGAGCTCAAGGAGGTGCAGAGAGCCCAGAGCCAACTGAGCAAGTGTTTCAGCAACATCATGGAGCCCTTCAAGGTTAGCTGCATGTCGTGCTGGGGCTGCTTCCCCGAGACAGACACCTCTTGTTTCCATCGTCCCTGTTCCCGAGTAGGTCACATCACACTGAGAGACATCGCTTGGGCCAGAGCTTGTGCTGGTGCACCGGTCCCTGGGTTATTGCTCCGTGAGCTCAGTGGTTGCACGCTGTCTCTTCTCCACGTGCTTCCAAAGAGCAGTAAGGAGACATCTGCTTCCTGCCGAGCAGTGCAAAGCCACGGGTCACTGTCGTGCTCACGCCAGGCTTCCTTCTGCCTGCTGGGGGTGGGCAAGGGAATGGAGGTGGTGACAGTTAGAGCTCACCCGCCACCTCGCTCCAGGATGGGCTGCGGGGCATGGTCGTTGCAGCACCCCAGCTACATGGCAGTGACCAAGATAACTGTATTGAAACCCTCAAAACTGTCCCAATGCAACTGTTGAGTCGTTTCTTTCTCTTGCTGGAGCAGGTCTGGGTGGAGAACTCGGACGGGTCAGGAGCTGTGAACTTCTTGACAGGGATGGGTGGATTCTTGCAAGCTGTCCTCTTTGGCTACACAGGGTTCAGGTGAGACCTCCCTTATGTCGCATTTAATTTCTGAGCAGTTACATGTCATCTTCAAACCTGGCTGTTTAGCTGGAGCAATGTGGTTTTACTCATGAAAGAGAACTTGCAGCATCCAGAATATCCTTCAGAGTTCCCAGCAGGTAACAAACAGGAACATCAGTGATCCTGCATGAACTGTGGTCACTGGCGGAGAACAAGGCGGAGCTATCAGAGGTGACAAGCCTTGGTTGTCGCTCCTCCAGCTATGTCAGCGTTTAAAGCCGTTTGCTTTGAAAGAGCCACAGGCCAGCCCTGAGCTCCTCGACACCAGCTGCCCCCCTCAGTGAAGAGGGACTCTCGGTATGGTCTCCGTGTTGTGGCTCCTCCTCTCTCCTTTGGATGTGGTGTGGAAGGACCCTCTGCGAGGCTCTGCAGCCTCTCTGGAGGAAAGTGCTCGGCGGGCATCGCCTCGGCAGTGACGTGGTCCTCAGAAGGAACATTAAGCTGTCCATGTAATTTTAAAGCTGTGTCTCATACCCAGAGCAGCTGGGCGGTTTCAGCCCTGAAGCAGCACTTTTGAGTGTATTCTTAGTTTAATTGAGGATGGATCAAACTGCCAAGCCTTTTGATTTTCAGTGAAACCTTCTAGCACTAACTATGTGTTTTTACTCTGCGTGTGTGGCCAGAAGCTGCTGAGAAACCCACCACTTTCTTGGTGGAGCTGGGTGTGAGCTACCGTATTCCCTGCTGAAAACCTTAATCTCAGCTTTTGCGAAGCTCGAAGGTTTTCAGATGCTCCGTGTGTGTCAGGTTGGGCCCCTCAGCACGGGCTCAAGCCACAGGTTTTTGGGCCCCAGCCAAATTTCTGCAGATGTCGAGATGACATTTTTGCAGCCCTCAAAACCACCGAGCCTGGCTGGCTCGTTGGCCTGCTCCGAGGCTCTCCAGTCTCCTGAACCTCTCTTGAGTCCTCTCCAGTGCGCTGAGTCCTCTCAACGGGCTGGAGATTGATGGTCAAGAGCTCTCCTGTCAAGACTTGTGTGGGAGATAAGTGACCATTGTCTTCTCTCACCTGAAGCCAAACCACACAAATGGGCTCTGTTTGGAGCAAGGACTCAAGTTTGCTTGATTTTTATCGTTGGGCGAAGGAGCGCAGGTAGTGGTGCTGAGTTTAAAGCCCTTCAAACCAGTGGGCATGGGAGCTGACGTGGGTTTCTGAAGAATCACCTTGACAGTCACAGCCTGGAGGGAAAGTGAAAACCGAGCTGTGAGGACACGTTGTTGAGATGGCACCAGCCTTAGAGTGCTGGGCTGTGAAATCATGGCCTGAGCGCCTCTCCACCAGGTGCTTTTTTGGTGTGTTTGGGATTTGCCTGGACCTCCTCAGGACGCCCTGAGGACTAGTTCTGCCCGCAGATGCTTGGAGGGGCCTCTGGGATGTGTGGGGCTGAGCTGCCTGGGGAGGTGGCCCGTCCCACCCCGCTGCCTTCCCTTCCGGCAACCCTTTCTTCCACCGCTGACATGCTTCTGCCATTCCAGGATCACAAGGTCCAGCCTCCGCTTCGACCCTGCCTTTCCCGACGACGTCAACAAGTTGAAAGTCAATGGTGTCTCCTACTTGGGCAACAAACTGAAGTTCACCATCACCAAAGAGAGGATCAGGATCAAAGCGACCGAGCTTGCCCGGGACCCTCCAGCATCTCCTCTGGAAGCTGTGCTGGAGGAGTCGCGGCAGCACCTCCCCCTGCGGGAAGGTACGGCAGGATTGCTGGGGGCTGCTTCATAAATACAGTTTGGGGGAAGCCGTGGCCGAATCTCTCACAGGCCGGTTTTCCTTGCAGGACAGAGCGTCTCCTTCCCCACGGTGGCCGGCTGGATACAGAGGTCACCCACTGAGACATTTTAAACCGTGGCTGATCCAGGTTTTCCCCAGCAATGCAGCAGAAAAGAGTTGAAGAGGGATTGTCAGCAGAGAAGAAAGGTGAAGGTGGGGCAGAAGGTGAAGGGAGTGGGTCCCAGGCTGTGACACAAACCCTTCGCCCCCTGGGACCGTGCCCACTGTCTGTCGTGGTGGGGGTGGTGGACTTGGAGCTCTCACTGTGGCTGGGGGGGAGCAGGAGCTCCCTGGGTGACACTGAGCATCCTTGTCTACGGTGGGGGACACTGAGCCCCCTGACTCCCACCTTCAGCATCTCTCCCTTGGAGAAATTAAACCTGAAAGCACGAGTTTTAAAGGAGTTTTCAGAACACCCGTGACCCGTTCTGAGCCCTCACAACCCCCCAGCTCTTCCAGCACGTCCTGCCTGGGCTTGGTGGGCTGCGGGAGGGGCTCAGCCAGTGGGACCGGGAGGGTCCCCCTCCCTCTAGATACCTCGAGCAGCTGGGACCCCCCTGGACCCTGCTGCCCCCCGTGACAACATGCTCTGCGCCAGCAGCGTGGGCGGA